GTTTTTTTTTTTTTTTTTTTTAAAGCAGTTTAGATGCAGTCCTTTAAAAAAAAAAACCTTTTAGAAAGAATTCTTCTTCCTAAAAAAATGAGGTGTTTTTTTCCGAAAGAACTGTATCTAGACTGTTTTTTTCTGAAAAAACTCTTCTGAAAATGGGATCAGAAGAAGATATGCAAATTCACACCGAATTTGCATATCTTCTTTCAAAAGCTGCGGGTAGTCTAGATGTGCCCCCAATGTGCAAAATTTAAGAAGAAAACATCAAAGTTCCAGCGTTGAAGAATTCTACTCTTTCACAGCCTTATTACGGTGAGTAGTACCACTGAAAACAATGGGGTTACTTGTATGATTTAGGCACTTCAGGAAGAGTTTGAAGAATTGGAGCCTTAATCTGTTCATTTTAAGGTGCTGTCCAGCTAACTGACAAAACAAAATCTCCTCCAGATCTCATGAATGTATTACAGATATGCTCACTATGGCTAAAGATGTGCACACCTCCAAGAGTGAATAATTAGATTCTAGTGGAAGATGAGAAAATTTAAGATGATAAGAAACACTGAATCAGCTGTAGAAGACAAGATGGGTTTGTCATGCCCCGCTCATGTTTTATGAAATTTGGCTTATAAATATGAATATGAATAACTCAAAGATGCTTTTGCATCATGTAATATCAATGATAAAATCTGCTGAATCTGTATATCCTGTTTTTGTTCATGTATCATTTTTATATGTGAAGTTACAAATACGAAGTGTGAATCTGGCTTTAACTCTGAACGTGCTAATGAGGGTTATTAGGAAAAATATTTTAGGAACATAATGGCTCAGTATTTATACCAACAACCTGTGACTCTTTGTAGCTCTTGATAAAGTTGAACTCTACTTCTTCCCTGATTTATTTTCTTTTTTCCTCCTCCCTTTTTTGATCACATTACCTTATTCAAATAGAAACAAGTGGCAAGTAGAAGCATTTGTCTTGTACTCTTTGAAGAACAAAGCTGTATTTTTGTGGGCAAGGAGAAAACAAAAGGAGCATCATGTGTCCTTTCCAAACAGCTATTTAAAGAAAATTGGGGTTGATGTAGGAATCAGGTTCTATGACTGGTGATATGTGGGAGATCAGCCTAAATAACCCTAATAGTCCCCCGTGGCCTTAAAAACTAAGGCTCTGTGAAAAAAGTGGCCCCGGTTCTAGCTCTGACAACTGCATCATGGCCCATCAGGCGGGGCCATGTGGGGAGTGGCTGTAGTGCTGGGTGGGTCCATGGCTGGGTGGTGAGCAGCTGTTCCGGCAACTGGGGGGGGGTGGGGCTGTACCACAGCTACGTGGTGAGCCTCCAGGGGCAGGTCCTTGCTCCATGGCTACGTGGTGGGTGGCTAGGTCTTGCTCTCGTGAGGGAGCTGGGGTCTGCCGCTTGATGGGGAGACTGAGACCTTGCATGGCAGAGGAGGCCGAGGCCTGCTGGGTTGGGGGGATGGGGAGGGAACTGGGACCTGCTGCGGGGAGGAGGGTGGCGGAACCTGCTGCATGGCCGGGGAGCAGGATCTGTTCCGTCCGGTGGCTGGCTGCTCTGGCCGCTGGGGATGAATAAAATAATGCGGGGTGTGTGGGTGGGGGGGGCAGGGGAGGCACAGGAGTCAGGGTTGGAGTGTATGGAGGGGTGGGAGTATATATTTTGGCAAACAGGAAATGTTTTATTTGCATATTTTACTTGCATAATGAATATGCAAATGTTGCTGGTCCACCTCAAGTTTGCAAATGGATTTGCTGTTCCCCGTATAAAAAGGTTGGAACCACTGTGATAGGGTCTCACCTTCATATCAATCTGTTAATGCCCTCTAGTGGTCAAATATTGGAAGAACACGCTACAATGAATCCCTGACACTGAAACACATTCCTTTCCTTCTTTATCCGGTGTCTTAATGTTATTTGCTGAGTGCTGAACCTCTACCAGTTTTCAGCATGCTGTGCATCTGCAACAACAGTAGAATAATGACAGGCTTTTTTTCCCACAGAACCTTAGTTTTAAGACCACGAGGGACTATTAGGGTTATTTAGGCTGATCTCCTACATATCACCAGTCATAGAACCTGATTCCTACATCAACCCCAACTCCTACTTTCACAAAAAATACCTAACATGTCAGGAAAACAATGGGTTGAGAAAAAAAAAACCAGGGGGCGGGGGGCACTTAACTTGTTGAGCCGAAAAAAACGCACAGAAAACAGGGTCACTGCACCTTTAAATCCCAGTGCTCCACACTCCCTACTCCTCCCGCGGGGGGAAGAATGTCCCAAGTGGTCTTCTGTCCAAGAAAAACAGAAAATACCAGACATTTTACCGGTATTTTCTGTTTTTTTTTTAACCGGACAAAGACTGCAGATACCAGACTGGACACCTGGCAACCCTATTCACAGGACTCCAGCACCACAGCACAACCTCATATGCACTGTCTGGGATGGAGGCCATTTTGAAGAGCAGGCTGCCCTGCTCCTGCTGGGGTGATGTTGCACTCATGCTGGTAGAGGCACAGAAGCACCCTCTTCATTATGGTGTCCTCTATACAACATCGTAGAGAACCACACCTGGTTGTGTCTCAGTAGCAAATGGGGTACAAACAACCCGAAAAGAGTCCCAGAAGGCCTGCTTCCAGAACACAGAGCTCTCTGGCTCATCCTTGGCTACCACATGGCTGAGAGAGATTGGTTCCCATCACGGTAAATTAGAGCAGCTTTCAGGCTATTGATACAGCAAGTACAAATAAAAGGTCTTAGCGGCTTCTATTTCACCACAACTAGGTGACTGCCTAAGGAATATTAGCTCCCACAGATCACGAGGGAGGGATACCCAGTACTTCATACATAGCAAGAAACGGCAGACTCTGTAGAATAAATACATTTTGTTCATAAAATCAGACATAAATTTAAATTTCAGATTATTTGTTCATTTCATTATGGCTGATCATGATTAAAATACAAAGGAAAACCTTGTAACTATGCAATTCCAGTACAGTCCTTCTTTCTTCTCCCTCCTTGTCCCAAAAGGCAAACTTTGGAAAACGAAAGTCTTGGAAGGGGGTCTCCCAAAACTTTCTCAAAACTGGAATGTAAAATGTCAAGAACATACGGTAGCCTAATATTGCGTGTGTGTGTGTGTGTGCTGCTGCACTTGATAGAGAGTTCCAGAAAACTTGGGTTTACCCATATCTGCAGTGGTCGCAAACAATGGAAAATTAGGCCCCAGTCCCAGGCTAGGTTTACACTAGCACTTTTGTTGGAAAAGTTTATGTCACCCAGGGTTTGAGAAAATATCCCCCTCCTTCCTGAATGACGCAGCTTACCCTGACAAAAGAGGTGGCATGGACAGCTTTGTGTTGGCGTGAGATGCTCTCCTGCAGACATAACTACCGCCACTAGCTGGCAGTGGGTTTGTTATGTCAATGGGAAAGCTCTCTGTTCAGCATAGAGCGACTGCATGGGAGATTGTACAGTGGCACAGCTGCACTAATATAGCTGTGCTGCTGCAAGCTCTCGAGTACAGACATGGTCCTGGAACGATGTGTACATCAGTGTTTCCTGTAAGCTGCGAGCTTGTGCAGCCACTCAGGAGCGATTCAAATGCCGCCTAGCTGATTAGCAGAGTGCTCACCACTATGCTTTTTGTTTCTGCTGGTAGTGCACATTCACACATGCCTTGGTGCACATAAAATTATTCCACACATGGATGGGAAAGATTAGCAGGAACATCAGTATACATGTGCTGAACTGGGAGCAGCTGCATGCTCCATTCACTTCCATGGATTACTCATGAGCTTAATTTTAAGAACACGCACATGTCTTTGCAACACCAGAACTTTTGAGCTATTGGATTTCAATTAGAGTGGCAGTCCTGTATAAGCAGAATTTCTTCCCTGGTCCATTATTCAGCTTTAATCATTCCAATAAGCCTGTTACAAGCAGCTCTGTAATGGATATACCTCGCCCACCACCGAGAGCTGAGGGGAGGAGCAGTCACCTATTGCAAAGGATGGATGTACTGAAATTACATTTTTACAATTTTTGGAAAAAACAATAATCAGACAAAAGCAAAGCCTGCAGTTATCCTAGTAAGCTGGGATTGCTTGGTTAAGGTAATTAATACCAGGCTTTGTGGACTTTTCTGGAAAAGGAAGACTGGCTGTTGCTGACATAAAAGACAGACATTTGGGACCTGATCCTGCAACACTGACTCCAATGGGGCAGGATCAGGCTCTTGGACAGCAAAAATCACAAACAGATCATTTAAAAAACACATAATCAGCGATTAAGGCAGAAAGCTTAGTTGCCACAATGATTACTGATGGCATCATAATGTGTGTAAAATCCCAGTGCTGCGGTTAGCTCACATAAAAAGCAACGTTTCGTGTTTACATACCTCACTGTATCACACAAAGACTTTTGGTTTTATTATCTCCAGTATCAGTGTCAACCTCTGCTTTTAAATAAAAGAAAGACACAAAATATATCTGACTGCTGTGACATATGGGTAACAACATGGAATGGCATAGGACAAAGACTGTCCTCTAGGAAACATGAGTAATTTATATTTCTTGGGGCTAAAATCTATTAGGTTAGTCAATAGCTAAACATTCTGAAAACATAAATGATGACGTTATGCTTGGGGTGGTAGGGTTGCCAGGTGTCCGGTATTCTACCGGACAGTCTGGTATTTGCGCTCTTTGTCTGGAAAAAAAAATCAGAGAATACCGGCCATGTGCAACGTCCGGTATTCTTTGATTTTTCTGGCTGTGCACCGGATGGAACCCTGGCGTGGGTAAGGGGAGCAGGTGGAAGGCGGGGCCACGATCGGCACTAGGAGCCTACGGGGAAGGTCGCTAGGAGCCTGCGCAGAAGCATGGCGGGAGGGGAGGGGGAGTGGCTGGGGCTCCTGCATTCCTTTTTTTTTTTTTGCTCGACCAAAAAATACCGGGTGTCCGGTATGTTTTGGGAGATCATCTGGCAACCCTAGCTTGGGCCCTACAGAGGTCACCAAAAGAATTAAGAAGAGGAAAAGCCCTGGCCCCTCCTGCTGCATGGGAAATACATCATTTGTCCATGTCTCTTGTCATTGAGGTGCAAAGAGCAGGAGCTGCATGCCCAGTATTCTTTCCCCTTTATTCATGAGGGAGGAGAAATGGTGGAGAGTTGGAAGAGGCATGAGTCTAGCACAGTCCTTCCCATCGGCTGACCAGGGGAGCTGGTGGGACTCATGGGGGGTTTGGGGCAGCAATGGGAATACATTGTGTCATCCCTCTAGAAGATACAGCAAAGGTCTCCATACATCCCAAGTGAGATGGAGAGCTCTGGAAAATCTGTGCTACAGAGTCGCCGTGGCCTAGTTACACGTACTTGGGGCTACACCTCAAAGCCATCTCTAGCCTTAAGAACGTGATCCCTTGCACAAGCATCAGTGTGGGGTTTTTTTTAAGCTGTGTGCTTGACTATTTTACACTAAGGAAGGGTCACATGGAAATACACCTGAACTTTATGGTTTGGTGACACTAATTCCCATGTGAAGAATGCTCTTGTAACTGATGTGGGGGGAAACCCTCATAAAAATTGGGTGATGGGAGTGCAGGGAAGAGTTATAATCATGCTTATACTAAAGATACATTTATAAATTGTTTATATGGGGGTTAACAAATAATTAATAGATGTCATAATTGATGGTTAATCTCCACTATAGTAACTGGTTTATCACTGCTTAGAGTCCAGTGGGTCAGCTGGTTGCTTTTAAATCTAACAACTATCTGTAGCACCTATGACAAATGTGCTTATCACCCTCTTTACTGTTTCATTCATATGTGCAACATGCTTTTTATTTATTCATTAATCATTAACTCTTTATAAACTATTTATACCTGCCCTAATGGCTAGTGCAGGGGTGGGCAATAAGCAGTCCGTGAGCCAGATGCAATTCACCAGGGTTAGCCCCTGGCAGGCCACGGGCGCATTATTTGCCTGTGTGTTGGCAGGTGTAGCAGCTCACAACACCTGTTGGCCATGGATCACTGTTCCCAGCCAACGGGAGATGTGGGAAGTGGCGCTGAGCAAGACACCACTTACCAAAGCTCCCATTGGCCAGGAATGGTGATCTGTGGCCAATGGGAGCTGCGAGTAGCCATACCTGTAGATGCACAGGTAAATAAAGCAGTGGTAGCCCAGACGGGGCTAACCCTGGTGAACCGTGTCTGGTCCGCAGGCCGCTTATTGCTCACCCCTGGGCTAGTTTTGCATTATTTAACCAGTCTCCGACTTTAAAGGACATCTGCATTAACCAGTATTTACCCCGAGACTGGTAAAACTCCTATTGGATTCACTGGTGAAGGACTGGACCCTAACAGAGGCAGGAATACTTCTAATTAAAAATCCTAGCGAGCTGAAGAGGAAAACTCCAGTCTCCTGTATTTAGCTAAAGGGTTGTTAATCTTCACATGCTGCATTGAAATGTGTTACCTGACTGGCTTTTGGTGGACCGTTTCTTCCTTCTCCGTTTCCCAGACCCTCTTTGCCCTTCCTTGTCCATACGTGCTTGCGCTGGAGGGACTGTTGCTGAGCAAGAAGAATCAGTCACTGGCTCTTCGGCAAAAGATATCTCCTGTGAGGTGTCCAGCAATGAGTCTGCGGCATGGTCGTCGTTTTCTCTCTCTGCCTGCCTTAACCCGGTATGCTGAGAACTCAACTCATTAGTTGGAGTCTTTTCAGCACTGCCAGGTGCTAGTTCAACTCTGGTTTTAGCCTTGTTCCCAACTGCATCTCTTGGTTGAGACGTTTGTTCATTAGACACTGGGCCTCCTTCTAAGTGCGTGGGTCCAGATTCACTGTGTTTGTCTCCTGAGGTGGATCTGTTCAATTCCTCTCCTAAGTCAGTACAGTTGCCTGAATAGCTGCTTGCAAACTTTATAATTGTTCCTGGGTTAACTGGCGCAAACACAATGGCATTGTGTTTTGCGTTCTCCTGGGAGCTACATGAGCCATTGATCTCCTGAATACTCACGCCACCATTGATGGACTGATGGACTCCTCCAACTTCAGTTGAAGATAAGGAGCTGCTATCAGTACAGGGCTGTTGTGGTGAATTTCCTTTTGGAAGCACTTCGTTAGAAGCTGGTGTCTCTGTGGCAACAGTACCCGGAACCCTCACAGTGTCGGCAGCTTCTGAGGCCGGAGTCTTTTCTGCGTGATGGCTGGCATCCTTTTGCTTGGTCTCATGGGCACTTCCCTTCGCTGCTGCCACTGCT